TAAATATATTTTTTTCTTCTCTCCCCTTAAATTATTTTTGTAATGGTAGTTTTCGTCTTTTCTACATTTTACTCATACCGATGCAGCTATGGTACATCTGTTAAAATGATTCAAACTCCCATGTATTTTAGAGAGTAGGACGGAAAAAAAAAGACTGAGCATGCTCGACCTTTTATATCAATTTTTACAGCATTTCTAAGAATAAAGGAAAGCATTTTAAATCAAGCCTGCTCTGGTTTGCTGTCTCGGCGGCGGGACGGGAGGTGAGGGCAGGGGGGGCGAGGGCGCCGCGGTATTCCCCGGAGCATCCCCAGAGCGAGGCAGGAGAGGGAACAGCCGTGAGACCCTCCGCCGCTGCGAAGTCTGCGCCCCCCGAGCCGCATCGCCGGGCACAGTGCTGAGTCAGGGGCTGTCCGTGACCGCGATTCTGACAGAAACGCGTGCGAAAATCCAAGAACAGCGGGGGTTAAAAACGCTGCTGAAAAACCTCCAAAGGGTTTCCATTCCAGATAATGCAAAGCTGCACCTCCACTAACGTGCTCTGGAGTTGGAACCAGCGAGTCCTAGGGGAGATAGATGCTGGCACCCACAGGCTTCAGCTCACTGTAGCTGCTGAACTGCAGGAGCTGGGCACTTTGATCAGGCAATGCCACTGCCCGGCTCGGGCTGAATGTGTCACAAACGGTCGGGCAACTTGTCTGAATTTTGATAGTGCACACACAAAGACGACAGCATCCCTAGGGCACTGGCAGAAAAATGGCACCTCCAGCTTTCCCAGAGAGAGAAATCTTGCTGGTTTCCAAGGGGTGACCCCAGTCTCGCATACAGCATCCTCTACACGGGACGACTCCTGACATCTCCTTTTTCCTTGCAGGGAGGCAGGTAAGAGCCTGAAACACTTGGGAGAGAGAGGGGAAAGATGTATTCAAAAGCTGGGTCGTTCCTTTGGTAATTGTGACTGATTAAGACTTTTCACTATCAGCCTGAGCTGCAGGAACAATCAGTGTGGCAAGTTTGCTTTTCCTTTTCTGCTGGATAATCACGAGGGGCCTGTGCAAACTGCTCATCCCTCCTCCTGCAAGGGGCTTTTAAATACTGTGAGACTGGTAGGGGGGAAAACCTACTCTCACTGACATTAATTCTCACAAATCGAACAATGCACACATAGGATTATTTCAATACTATTTATCTGATCTGTAAGCCTTGTCTCCACAGTCAAGGTGAGGATATTAACAGGGCCTACAAAGCAGTTTGCGCGTTACCTGTAACAGAAACTATAATGAAACACCCACTTTGTGGGAAGCTACAGATAACACAGCACTTCTATGCTTGGAGACCAATTAGCTGTAAAATATTAACTTTATATGTGCCTGACACTTCAAAATATAAGCTTTGTTCACATCTCCATCTTTATAACAATTATTGCAAGGTGATAACAAACAACTCAGAATTCACGCTCTGTGCGGCGTTTTGCGGCCGGTCTGATAAAACTCAGCTTAGACCAACATTCACTGCCTGTAGCAAGGTATTTATTTCAAAAATATCAGTAAAATATTTTCCATCAACACATAATAAATACGCAATTACATAAAAAAATAAATCACAACCGTACAAAACTTCCAGAAGATGTTTTACATACATAAACGGCAAACATGCCAAACAACTGTACGCTTAAATTCTGAACTAATCCGAAAAAGGAGAGTTCAAAAAGTCAAACAGATCTTTTTATATAGGCATTTTTTCAGCATTAGCACAATGTGCTTTGTAAATCACAGTTTTAATAAACTATTTTAATGCTTATCACACCAGCATTATACATTATCTGTGGCACTAGTTAACAGATAACCACATTACAAAGTCCACAGATACTATAATAGCTGACTAGAGTTCAACTCTGCCTTGCTGCAGCTTCCAGAAGAACAATTTCCTCTAGTGCCACACAGTTGGGGTGGCTGGTTGTGGAGTGGACGTAGCAGTTCAATAACCCCACCTCCTTTCCCAGCACGCTCTGCACCTCGTAAGTCTGCAGGGATAAAAGCATGGTGAGTAAAACAAACAGTTCTGGACGTTCTGTTCTAAGCAGCGTTCAGCTGTGAAGATGCAGCGTGTGAGATTCTCTTCCAACTGACAATTTTTTTACAGGACTCAGAAAGAAAGGTGCATTAGAACAGATGGAAAGAAAGAGTACATTAGATTTTCAACCATTAGATCACACTCCTGCCTCAAGTGCTGCTTCCCTACTAGACTTTAAAAACAGGCTGTTTAAAACCCCCAAAAGTTCCTGTGGCTTTGAACTCAGTTTGCTGAAGCACAACCTTTACCCAGTTTTCTGATGCTCTCAGGACTTCACACATGCTGGCAATGTGTACATACGTACTATAGATCGATTACCTTTGCTAACTGATCCGCTAAAAACCCAGTCTGTGACCCTTTTTCCTCTCCTCCCTCTCCCCCCTTTTAACTTTGTGTTGTTCATGCATCCTTTACCATCACCAGCACCTATACAGTCCCTCCAGTTTAATGATCCCACTGGCATTTTACCCAGGAGTTGTGCCTGAGTGAATTTGTAGAGGCTGTATCCTGCCTGGAGGAGAGGGGTGTAAGGCTGGGATGGCTTCACTAAGGGGAGACAGCATGTTAACAGAAGAACTGGTAACACTGATAGCAAATACCTCACTTTACAGGGTATATCAGGTTCACATCCATTTCTTCCCTTAATGGGACTTGCCTACAACCAACCTCTGACCATGCCCTGCTCTCTTCCGGGATGTGCTGCCGTACAGGTATGTGATAACCATGTCTGTTGCCTGGTTCAAGGTGTAAACAACCTTTTTCCTTTTTTTCCTAGACTATTTTTACCCCAGACCAGTTCTACAGTCCAGTTCACCATGCAGCTGCACAAACAGTTCTACTGGTGTAACAGCAAGGCTGCCACAGGGTAAGGAACAAGTGGTCAGGGCCAGCGACCGCTAAAACCAACCTCCCTGCCAAAAGAATTGATTACAAAGCTACGCCCTCAGAAACTTTAGCAGCACTGCAAAAAAAATGCCACTTCAAGTGTGATTTCTTGTGCTGCTTTTTAAAATGCAGCAGTTCAGAGATGGAAATGCTTATTAAAAAACAAACCAAACCAACTAACCAAACAAAACCCAACAAAGTAAAAAGTTATCCCTGCATTTCAGCTAGGGAAGAAAAAGGATTAAGTTGCCAGAGTTCTAAATACTGGCATTATACACACTGCAACATGAAGTTGTCTGAATTCTAGTAACTTGAAAAAGAACTATGTTTTGCCAGTCTGTAACCAAACCAGACACAACCTTAAAACTTAGCAAGACTTAACTGCTATTAAAGCAGCAAACACATTTTGGAAATTCCTTTTCTCTCTATGCTTAAATGAAATCTACACATCCTTCACCATAAGAAAAGTTATTTATTATCTCAAATCAGCTTTCCACTTTAAATACTACTGACAAATCCCATTAAAACTATGTAATAGAAAAATGCTGGAAAACTTGTAAGACAGGGAAAGAAAAATGACCCCAATACACATCACCTAACTGAAGATACTTAACTGGGGTGATTTAATAAGAAAACAAGCCAACCTTTGCTCCCTTCCATGTGCAAGGGAGAGGGGAGACCTTGGGATCCTAATTGGACTTAATGCCTCTCTGAAGGTGCCGCTCCTTCACTGCTGACCATCCAGCAGCCAATGCCAGCCAGGCACCTACCCCAGTGCCTCCCTCACCTGCGATAAATCTGGGTCACTGTGCCAAATGTCAGGGTTCTTCTGATATCTCAGATTAAAGGAATAACTACTTCATGATTACATAAACTGTACTTTAGCCCAGGCAGCCCCGTGGCTTATGTGTGTTCCATTCACACAATTATTAAAGTAATTTTGTATTTTGCGAACTCCTCTACTATTTACACCTGCCAGTGGCTTCAGTCCTGTGCTGTTACAAAGTAGTTGTGGTCTAGAGGGTTTAGAAGACCAGTTCCAAAAGGTGGGATGCTTGGACTGTGTCTTTCCTGTCTTTGGCTCCTAAGCCAGAGAACAGAGTGAAGCCCAGCACTGCCTGTCACAGTTTTGAGTGCCTGGACATAGTGCTGTTTGCAGGCAGTTCTGCAGATCCACAGCTGAGCTAAATTTGTCCAAACAGCCCATCAGCAGCAGCTCTCTTCCAAAAAGGAGAGTGTCACTCTGATGATAGTGATGAGATAGCAGGGTATCAGCAGCTGGAAGGTGGGATTGCCAAAGGACTCAGATCACAGGCTGGACACGAGAGAAAAATTCATGACTTCTAGTGGAATCTCCTACTGCTCCTGGTGCAGTTCAGAACTAAACTGCCTGGAAAGTCAGAATATCCATCAATGGAGGTTTTCAAGACCCTGCCAGCCAAAGTCATGGCTGACCTGCCTACACATTGGCAATAGCCCAGTGTGAATAGCTGGTCGCATGATGACCTCCAGGAATCCTTTCCATGTCTGTGATATGACTGTCTTCCCACCTGATTCATGTCTCCTGTACTCTGCCTCTACATTAAGTTATGTGGTTTAACTTTCTTTGGTTTGTTATACCTACCCCATCTTCGCTGGTGGAGGACATCAGGAGAGAAGAGATTGTCTTTTGCAACAGCTGGAATGAGAAAATGTACAGGTTTTGTTCTTGACAAAAATCTTACGTATGCAAAAACATTGTTTGCAGGTTAAAACAGTCACATAGAACAAAGATTTATCATTTTAATATTGAACGGGTTTGTTTCTCTGGCCAAGAAAGCAGAGGAGAGGTGACACAAATGTTCAGAATGGAAGTCCAAAAATACACATTCCTTTTAGACTGTGGAGACTGAGGTTTCTCAAGGCACAGCCTAATAAAGCCCTCCAGCTGGGCCATAAAACAGTTGCAAACCTCAGGGTGAACTCATTGACTATTATTTGAGCAAGATCTGGGAAGTGTGCTCTTAGCCCAGTGAAACACGAGTTTAGTATTAAGCTATGAGCTAGTTTAATTTGTCTTCTGACAGAGCTGTTTGCAAAAGCGTGGCTTGGAGTACCTGTGTGTCTACACATCTAGCCTTGCTATACTCAATACACCAAAGCTAGTTTCATGCCATACCTTTACTTTTATTGTACTTTGAGATCGGGATGGACAACTCAAGAAGACTTCCAGCTGCATTTTCAAAACTGGTGTTATCACAACTTCAGAGCACTGGTTGCAATATAGCAATTCTCTGCAGCATACGAATAATGATGGGAAAACATTGAGAAATGGAAAAGCTATCAGTTGTAAATCAAACAAATAAAAACCCAACTAGTTATTCTCTAAGATACTTTGCTGGTAGACTTTTAGTAGGAAATCCCTGGGAGAGATTCAGTTGATAATAGCAAATAGAGTTCTTCTGCTGGTAGAGCCAAGTAACTTGGACTATATAAGCTCTTCTGGCAAAAGGATCTTCCTTTTGTAAGTTCTGGCAACACGGAGGGAGATTGCTATTTATAGTCACCCCACTTAAGCAAATATTAATCTCACAACCTTCCAAAACTTATGGCGAAAGAAAATTTGTAGTATAGATTTGGCTCAAGTGACTTATTGACTTAGGCCCTCATTCAGCAAACGTTCAGCGTTTTCAGTGCACACCTAAGTCATATACATAAAATTAAGCTCAGCTATAAGTGCTTGTTGGAAGCATTTCTTAAACAAATATTGATACTTCATTTGCTCTCCAAATGAAGCGAAAGTGTCCTTCACAGGTGAGGTGTTTTTTTTTAATTGAACTATATTACTGTGTGAACATATACACACCCTTATGTTTTGCATGACAGTATAATATAGGACACTTTTTTTTTACTTTCAGCTCTTCCCCCCTCCCCCCCAGGCTATACATAGCACAGCATAAGTGGCAGATCTTCTCATATTTAGGAAAATGTTATCTATTTCAATAGGATCAAACGCACCCAATTTCTCCTTATGCTTTTGCCAAATTTTTTCCTTCCTTCCTTCCTTCCTTCCTTCCTTCCTTCCTTCCTTCCTTCCTTCCCTCCCTCTCTCCCTTTTACACTCTGACTACTCATCCCCTTGGGTTTTTATTCCATTGGGTATCTCACACTCTGGAAGAGCAGCCTGGCTAGGCAGCTGAAGGGGAGGCTTTCCAAAAGCATGTCAGTGTGACTCAGGTTGAGCATTTCAGGTGATAACAGGTCCTGTAGGATCAGTCTCCACATCTGGGACAGTCATACTTCCAGAATTATTCAGCATTCTTTTTAGAATGTAAAATCAGACCTGTGATTCATGTGCACGTTTACTAAAGCTAATATTATAATGCAGTGGGCTATGAAGTCTTAAGCAAGGCTTTAAGATTGGTTTTAAAAACAAAAGTAATAACTGCAAAATCAACCCATTTCATATCTACTTGTATCTTTCTTAATAAATTAATGTAACCTTGCAGGTTTTATCAGTTCATCAGCAATAAAACTACTGCGTCTTAGTTCTAGGAAGGAGCAAAGTGCAGCCTGTGCCTGCAGGAATCATTGCATCACCTACTGCTGTTATGGCTACACCTACAAAACACCTGGAGTGCTCCAGAGCATACTGACTCTCACCTGTCCTGGGGACACAGTTCCAACTTTCCATTGCCACATCTGTCGCATGTAGGCCAGGAGAAAGCAGTGCTCTCATTGACTCCAACAACGGTACCTGCGTAACACGGAATTCTTACAGAATGCTAATGTTAAGCCAGCAAACACAGTCACTCCTGGCTTCACAGCAGGTTTGAGCTTTTCTGACCCACATCTTAAGACTTGTCAGAGCAAGAATCAGCTCTTCCAACAATCTCACTCCCTCTTCTTCTTTGTCCCTCCAACAAGGGATGACAGTACAGCAGAACGTGTTACATCCTAAAAACACCAGAAGGTAGATAAACTGACAATTAACTTTCCAACCAGGCTCAGTTCTTTTGGTTTGGATTTTATTGCTTTTCTGATTTGTTTTTGCTTGTTTGCCTTCTTTCTGGTCCTCTGATGTTTCCTTGGCAATAAATAGCAATAAAAATCATCACATTGGATAGCCTGATACTGATATTTAGGAAACACAAACCAATAAGAGGACCCAATCCCTTTTGAAAACAATGATGCAGATTAAATTCTGTTAACAATGGAGTTATTCTTCATTTATACTAATTTAACACAGATTAGACCTGGCTCACAGACTTAAGTGTGTGCCTAAGAAAGGGAATGCCAAAGATACTTTGGACTAATATAAAAGGCCTCGCTGGTTTTGGCAAGAAAAAAATATATTCATAGTTTTATGAAAAGCCAATGAAGAGTGGATACAATCCACTGGCAACAATATGATGAACTTATGAGCATTATTTATGGAGGAAAATACTTCTAAGTATTCACCTGTAAGAATGAAATTACTCTTAAAAAAACCCTCACTAGCACAAGCAAGAGAAGAGCAGACAAAAAAGTCCAGCTCCTATTGAGCAAGAATCTCACAGTTCTATACCACATTCAATAGAAGAAAGCCTTGGAGACTTATGGAGTATTTACACTGTCTGGACTGTAAGACAGGGTGTTAATCCCTTGCCTTTCTGGTTCTCCTGGGGCAAGGAGGGAGCTACACACCTAAACAACAAAACCGTAATTTTCTCTGGGAATTCAAAAAGACATCAAGTCTGAAGATCTGGAAAGTTGCTTCTCAAATACAGTATTTATGACCCAATTGCTAAGCACACAATGAAACAAAATGCATTTCACTGACAGAATAAGCAATTCTATTTAACCCCTTGGACTCTTACAGGAATAATTTTGGTTCTTCAGTGTTTGTGATAAACTGGCAGTTTCCATCAACACTTGCTACTACAAGGTAGGAAGCTTTCTGCCACAGCATGGGCATGTTTCTCTTTGAATGATGTGAATGCTGAACGGAGTTAAGTCCAGTTGACAGTCGGTGACTAATGGTGCTCCCCAGGGCTTAGTGTTGGGGCCAGTCCTGTTTATTATCTTTACTGATGATATGGATGAGGGGATTGAGTGAATCCTCAGACAGTTTGCTGATGACACCAAGTTAGGTGAAAGTGTGGATTACTGGAGGGCAGGAAGGGTCTGCAGAGGGACCTGGACAGGTTGGATCATTGGGCCGAGGCCACTTGTATGAGATTCAACAAGGCCAAGTGCCACATCCTGCACTTGGGTCACAACAACCCCATGCAATGCTGTAGGCTTGGGGAAGAGAGGCTGGAAAGCCTCTGTTTAGCCTGGAGAAAAGGAGGCTCAGGGGACACCTTACTGCTCTCTACAACTACCTGAAAGGAGGCTGTGGTGAGGTGGGGGTCGGTCTCTTCTCCCAGGTAACAAGTAACAGGATGAGAGGAAATGACCTCTTGTACCAAGGGAAGTTTAAATGGGCAATAAGGACAAATTTCTTCGCTGAAAGGGTGTTCAAGCATGGGAACAGCTGCCTGGGGAAGTGGCAGAGTCACCACCCCTGGAGGTATTTAAAAGATGTGCAGATGTGGCACTTACAGACATGGTTTAGTGATGGGTTTGGCAGTGCTGGGATAATGGTTGGTCCTGATGATCTTAAAGATCCTTTCCAACCTAAACGATTCCGTGATTTTTATGACTCTTGTTCATCAAAATGAAAAGCTACCAATTAGTTTGCTGAAGATGTTTCCTTCTTCATTAAAAAAATCATTTTAACAACAAAATAAATCCCCTTTTCTGACAGGCATTTCTCTCTAAGCCTTTTCACTTTCTCCCAATTGTGTGCCATATTGCAACTGCAGGATGCCAGTGCACAAGTAATGCAAGTACATTTGAAGAAAATTAATCGGGATCATACTGATAAGACTCTGCCTAGTGGAGAGGTTTATTTTGATGACAATGTAGAGTTTCCTTGAGAAAACCACCAGAGATCACTGAAGTCAGAACAACTCAAAGCAGCAACAGGTTTAATAATTTAGTGACAGTCTTGTGCATCCTTCATGCAAAGTGGTTTCTCAAGTTTAAGCTGCTGAATTGCTGCACATCTTTGTTAAGCCTCTAGATTTTGCTTGACATTCACAAACCTTTTGGATATTTTCCCAAGATGCACATAGCCAAAATTCGATTTTTACCTCTACTCTTATTTTTATGGGCTGTGGCTACCATCATTAAGAAGAGATTGACAATAGGACAACACCTGGAAAAACAGATTTCTCATGTGTAATGCAAAGTCTGGTTGAAACATTCAAAAATTGATGTGGGTTTTTGTTTGTTTTTTTTTCCCCCAATCAATTACCCTGGTTAATGGGACAGGAAAGGAAAAGAGAAACCTAGGTAAGCTGATTGATTCCATTTTAGTCACACTGTTAAGAGGAAAACTGGAAAAAACCACACCCCTGAGTAAGTGCTTAAACATGAAAATATCCAGCGTCAAAATTCAATCACTGATGGTGAGTCATACTAGGCAAATAGCATTAATCAAGTAAAATTCCCACATATCGTATGTGGTAAGGACTAACTAGAATTTGCTCATAAGCATGATTAAGAGGAAAACCAGTTCTGTGCAGTATGAACTGCCAACTTTTAAGTCATCCTGACTGCTACTGTACCGCAAAAAGAGGTTAGAAATTACATTGCAATGCATTGTGATAAGAAAATAAATCTATTAACCCTGAGCTCACAGGTGAAAAACACAGATTCATTTTGCAAAGAAGAACAAACTTTTCATTAGAAAGCAACCACAGGTTTTCACTCATCTGTTGAAGAGGAACACACTCCATCCCAGAGCTGGTATGACTGGACCTCCCTGAAACAAGGATTTCTGACAAACTCATTGGATCTGCTTGGACTGCAACATTTGCCTTTTCGATAGGGAAGGAACCTCTGAAGTCTATCCAGTCCAGCGTTGCTAAGGGACAGCTGTGAGCAGGAGCTTGGACTGGAGGAACTTCAGAGACTCCTTCCAACCTACCTTATCCTATTTATTTACCTTTCAAAAAATGACTGCAAAGGAGCAGGAAGGCACACTACTTCAAGAAGGGGTAGAGTTGCAGCCTCTATAAGTGTTAGGTGGGAGGATGCCGATGTACAGCACATGTAGGTGATCAAAAGTACAGGAAGTGAAAGGATGCACAAAGAAAAAGAGTGAATGAGGTAATACTGCTTCTCACTGAAACCCAGACTAACAAGTCTGAGTTAAGAGACAGAGACAGTGACTGAATTTTAGAGACAATACATTTTCCTGCACATGTTCTCCATCAAATACATATTCTCCTACCAACAAACTAGGGTTGATGCTATTTAGTTTCACTACTTCAGAAAGATGTAGGCATCAACTAATTGAAATCCAAAAGAGTGACTATATCTCTTAAATGCTATTAAATTATTTTACTTACACATAGAAGTGAGAGTCATCACCTATATATATATATATTCCATGAGCATAGAAGATACTTTATATTCTATGTTGGTACCCAGGTGTGGGAACATAGTGGTAAGAGCTACCCTGTGCAAATTCCAGATTGAACAAGCCAAGGTTGTAGGATTAATTTCTTTTGTCATTCTTCCATCTGTAACACAGCAAAGGGAAAGCATGACATCTCCCATGTGTGTAAAGTAAGGACTTGTTTACACAATGGATCGCAAAGGTGTATTTTCTTTGCTGTACTGGAAGAAGAAAGGATAAAGAAACGTTTGCTTTATCCCACTATGCACACTGTCAACAAGAAGAAAGAAGACAGGCACTTCTCATACTTCTAGAATTAACAGCAGAGAAGTGACAATTCCTAGCATAACTATTGGAGACATTAAAAAAAATAATCAAAAAGCATTTCACACTCAGTGACTGAAATATCTTCCACGGAACTGTATCAATGCAAGACGTACATAACAGCCAAGGCTTTGAGTGAAGTGCCTCTAGTTGTGCATGGTTTTCATTATGCACTGTTAGAGTTCAAGATTTGTCCCTGCAAGGTGTTCATTTATTAATCACAGAGGCATTGCTAACTTGTGGCTCTACCATAGCAGAAGGTTATGTTTAGTAAAGGCTTTGCATGGTTTCAAACTGTCTTCTCAGTGCATCACATTATAGCTCGAAGAATTCATTTGTAAACCCTTATTTGCTGTAATTTTAAAGTTCATTTCAAATACTCCAGTGAATACCTGCAGGTGTAAATGTCAAACAGCATCAAGAATTTTCTACAGGGACTACTGGAATCATAAGAGTTAAATTAAGAAAGGAAACAGTCTTTAAAAGCCAAGAGTTGTTGGGCTTTTAAGGACTTTTTCCTACAGGCACTCTACAACTGGGAGGTGTAAGAAGCTGACCGGACGAAGTCAGTAGGAAATATTTTTCTGCATGATTAGGAAATGTTAGAAAATACATTGTAAGAAATGTTTCTGCATGGTTAGTGGTAGGACTAAGATACTAGATAATGCTATGATCCAAAGTGGCTGGTGAGCAAATATTGGCCAAGTTATGCTAGATTACTATGACAAAACACTAAATTGTCCCACTGCAGCAAAGCTCCAGGGAAATCAGTCACTAACCCCTACCATTCATGATCTGGGTAACATATCTTATCCATCTGCCTAAAAAATATTGGTACACTTCGCTGCTGCCAACATCAACAAGTCTGGTGTGAACAGAAGGCTCCTGAAAGATGACAGTGAAGGAAGGAATATAATGAAACAGACTGTGCACTAAACATTTATTCTGGGCTATGAGTGTGTGGGAGCAGAGCTCAGCCAGCAAAAGGCAAACAGAGCCCACAGAGAAGTATAAAATCTTAAATATCCTAATGACCCACAGCAATGCTGTGCTTTTTTTATCCCTCTACATTGTTTGTGCAAGAAATCAATATAAAGACACAAAAGATTAAAGTAAGCACAAATAATTAACCACATTCATTTCACGAAAGGCCATACAAACCTCTTAGAGCACAAATGGAGTTGGCCTGTGTTGTAGAATCCAGCTCATCGAGTCTGACAGGGCCAGTCAGCTCACTGAGGTCAGCAGCAGCAGCCGAGCACAAAAGAGGCTTTTGTAATAAGAGAACAGTACGTTCAACACAAATAATCCTACCTGCCAACAAAGACATTTCAACTCAGTACAGTAACAAGGAAAAAGGTGACCATGTTAATTGTCATGGCCAATAAAGACAACGACCTCTGCCAGCTACTAAACAGATGAATACACTCTATCAGGGTTTCTCAGTGACAAAACATTTTGCTTTCAGCAATACATGCATCATGCTCTCGTTACACTTCACAACTCCTGGGGAAAGAAAAGAAGCTTTAAAAATTTGATCATGGCAGAAGAGAGTCTGATGCCACCCAGACTGCATGGCATCATGCTCCCTGCAAACAGGTTATTGCCTCTCCTCCCTGCTAGTAAGCTTGGGCACCCCTTCAGGTGGTCTCACTTTGCTTCAAAGACTACAAAGAGTAGGTGCATGCAAGGCTTTATTCTCCAAAGCAGAGATTTTTGCTTCAGGATGCTCAGCCATTTGCATGGCTTTGTACTTCCAGTCCACTTACATTTAGAAAGTGACTGAAGGCATGAGATGTGAACTACCCACACAGTCACCATACAGAACCAAACTGGAACCTCAAAAAAGAGGGACTAAAAACAAAAGTAAAGTGAACTACCAAAATTTCATGATCCGTATGGTGGTCAAGGCTCACAGCTAAGATGGTATAGGAGAGCTAAAATTTCTGTATCAAGTTTCTTAATACTCTTGACTCGTCTGTCAGCTAGCAAATTTGATTAACACTGGTCATCAGCTTCAACAGTCATCAGGGAAGACTGACAGTAATATTGGTGGATATACAAGAAGATCAATTAGTTTCTAATTTACTTTGGAGCTCAAGCCAAAACGATAAAAAAAGAAACCTTTCAGGAAAGCTCTAATTACAACCCCTTTCAAATTTCTCATCACAATCTTGCAAAACCTCATCTTCATCTGAGAATGAAAGTCTCTGGAGGTCACATATTGTGGTGTCAGACATAAGGACGCTCTTTCTGTGTGACTCCAACTGCTTCAAAACCACGTGTAAAGCTTACCATTTCCCCACAGTGCATCCTTGAAGAAGACAGGTCGCGAGGCAACACTGAGGGCTTCGATGACTTCCATACTGAGAACACACGACGCAGTGACTGACACAGCAACAACTTTTGGAATCGTATGAACCACATTTTGCAATGTGGAGTCAGTCACAAACAATGAAAGCTCTCTCTGATTTATAGGGACACTGTGCTTTGTCTATGATTTTTAAAAAAAATACAAAATTGAAAGCAATTGTTAATTTTTTTTAGAGAAGGAAAGACTAAACATCCTCATATTTAAATAACTCATAAAACTGAAGACATTATTACATTTAGGGTTTGTACAGGATAAGGAATCAAAGCCTTACTGGAATTTTTCGTTATTAAATTTCCAAGTTATCTTGGATTTACCTCTCCCAACCAGCATGCTTTATCATAATTCACTTAGACTGTACAAGGGATTCGAAATATATTTTATAAAAGTGTATCTATAGCATTTTTATCATATGTATGGTACATATAAAAAGTTAATTGTTTTGTTTTATTTAGACTTACATAATTTTTGCCTACAAAAAAAACCCAAAAAAGGAAAGGTTACTGCTACTACTATTATTATTCCTCTGTGAGCACATTTTTTAGGTATTGTTATCAGATTCCTAAGAATACCAGTCCTTGGCTAATAGCTACTGCAGATTACAAAGTTGGAGCTTTTTCTTTCAGTTGAACAAATATCTCTAGATATTTCAATGATGCATAAAGTTAAGGAAGTAGATCACTCCTATGTAAGAGAATAGGAATCTGCAATGACAGTCTAAGTTTTCTGCCCAAGATAGGTACGAAAATATCATGGCATTACTAAATTAAGGTTATCACAATGACTGATGTCACAACCAAAACACATTTCGGCTCAGCCTTCATATCTGAAAATAATCATCATAAAATCAGGAGTGTTCTTTAAATTTTTCACGCTGGGATTGTGAACAAGACAGACATTACATACACACCTGTGCTTATTCCTGGGTCTCTAACAAAATCAGTTGTGGTACAATCTGATGATTCATGCTTTTCTCCTTTTTTTTTGAACACAGCTTTTATAATACTTATGTGTGTATGTGAATTTTCCCAAGCCTTAGAAAAATGGGTTTAATAACAAAGCATATTTCACATTTACTAGTCCAAGCAACTTGTAAATTTTCAGATTCTAATATTTAAAAATATTTAACTAAGATTAATTTACTTTAAAATGTTTCTGTTGCTCTTTCTAATTACTCTGCTGATCAAAAATTCATACTTAAAACACTTAACCGAAAATTAAATACTATGACGATGGGATAAGCATTTTGTTCTCGAAATTGCATGTCTCTAGCATAAAATCATTAACCACACTAAACCATGCTCTCTGTTCATGCCACCAGCTCTTAGAGCAAACGCAAAAATTGTAAGTAGTGACTGGGAAAATTCACAATTCAGACACCACAGCACATGCTGCCTGTTGCATTGCTGTTATTTCTTTGCCTAGTGACTACACACATTTGAGCACCTCCTCTGAGTAGAGAGCGTTAGGACAGCTTCAAAGAAGGACCTTGCACATCTGTCCCTTGAGAATTACAAACACATTAAAAGATGGATTGCAAATCCAAAGAGTAAATAATAATAACAACAGCAAAAATCACAAGTTAGTATAAAATCATCGTCTTGCTATGTGTGACAATTTGTTCTGAACAGAGAGGACACAACAGACAAATAGCAGCAGGATTGAGTTATAAGGAAGGACAGCTCCTTAACCACAGATGGAATATATTTCCTCATATTCCTTCTGTACCACAGTACGGATTCTGAGTAATAATAAAAGCATAGTTCCATTTTTCCTTCACACAAATTAAGTATCTCAGAATACTGTAGCTAGAGAAAGCAAACACTACATTTTAAAGTACATCTGAAATAGCTCACTTAGCAGATTATTTAATAATAATAAATCTGCAAAATAAACCAAATCATTGTCCCTTCCTCACTTGTTATGACTTGGCAATTTTGCATGTGAAGGGTATGTCCTCTTGGCAAAGGCAACTGCAGGAAACAAACTGCTGTTTGTGATCTTCGGGGAGGGTTAGGCAAGTAAGACACTAACAGCAGGTAAATACCTTTATATTCGTAGGGCAGTTATCCAGAAAGTGAAACATAAGAGCAGTATCTTCTATTGCTCTTCTAACATTGCTTTCAAAAAATTTATGAGCACTCATGAAAATTTAGTGCTTATGGTTCAGTAAGTGAATGGCCATTAAAAAAAACCCCAGCTAATAAACTTCCTAGTAGCGAGACAAAACCATAGACCTTATTTTTGCTAGTCAAGATTCCATTCTTCAAAATCACATCTGTTCCTGCATGCTTCATCTTTTCTCTAATTCAGTGATGAAGTGCTTTTACACAAGAATAGTGATGACCCACATCAGCATCTCAGATGTAGACATTCCTGAATACAACACTGTTTGGCTAGGATACCTCTAGTCTGCAATTTTATTTTATTATTCACTATAACAGGTTTCTTGGAAATTGAGGTTTGCACATGTATGTGTCCATCTTTCTGTGAGCACTCTAAAGATCCCATCAAGCTAGCCCTAATTTCATGTTTGCAAACGCTCTGTTACATTCTTACTTAGTATGGAGAAAACACAAGAAATGCTCCTCGTCTCGGGAGTTAAAAGCACTCCCTGCCTAAAAATTCAATCATAACTCATTGGCTTTTGAAGCAAAAGGGCAAGACCTAAATTAAATTTATGTCTCACACTGGTGGGAAGCATCTCCAGCTATTCTGCTGGCCGTTCTGGAATTTCTTTGTCTTCGGTTCATATGCTTTGATTCACACTTTGTTTCTTGTGGAGCTGATGGACAATTGCAAATTATTCTCCACCAGAATTCAGTGCTGGCTGTACTGAAGATCCAGTCGCCAGGAAAAAATAAATAAATCAGCAACAAAAAATTCCTTTAACTGCTAAGAGAGTTAGCAACATTTTGAAAGAAAATCGCAGCATAATTCAGAAACAAATAAAACATAATTGTAAGCTTTCTGCCGTCCACAGTATGGATGGCAGATGTATTTACCTAAGAGTCCCTCCCTTCTGCTACTTACTGGACCATAAAAGCCAAATTTGCCTAAGGGGCTTCTATGGAAGTCAATGAAAATCATCCACACACTTGCATGAAAAGAGCAAAACTGTATTTTTCTATAACCATCATCCGTTACATTCTATCTCCCAACACTCAACTGACCAGGAACTTCTTGCTATGTACCTAAGGGCAGCATTTTGCTGTAAATTGAGTCTCAACTACCTTCCTGCAAGTTCCCTTTCCAGGATAGCAGTTTATTCAGGAATAATTCACTTTCTCACTGGATGGCATTGAACCCATTCACAGGCATTTTGGACATGGTGAAAATTCTACCCACACAACTCTTGAAGATAATCCCAGAAGGTTTTGGGCTTCCCCCTAAACAAGATAAATACTGGCTACTTGTCCTGGGTTGCAGTGTGGGGGTACCCATGGTATGTATTCTATTATCATCTCCACAAGCTGTTAAAGCAGGTGGGGCAGTGATCGTTATCACCTTGTCCCTCCCTCAGGGCAATCCTGATGGCTCCCTCAGGGGCTGTCTCTGATTGATGGGCTGTCAGGGACCCATGCAGGACACATCCTCCCAGTGACCCTTGTCGCCTTGTCCCATGGTGAGGTGACTCGCCCCAGGGGTGGGGAGCCAAACATGCTCACAGGGATATAAGCTGGGGTTTGGACCAGCACAGGGAGCCCTTTGCCTGCTGGATTCCCAGAGGACAAGAGCTGCTGCTGGACCTTCAGGAGAGGAGCAGGTCTGCGGGATCACTGCTCCAACAGACCCATCACTCCAGGAGGACTGCAGCCACCATTTCATTGGACTACTACTACACCCTGACTGACAGGAGGTCAGGTTACTTTCTGACTCTGTCAGGTTATTTTCTGACTCTGTCAGGTTACATTTTTTGTACTGTTGCATTTGTGTTGTTTTGTTGTGTTGTTCATATTAAATTGTACTTCTGACTCAGAGTCTCTCACCGGTTTGCTTTTCAAACCAGCACACTACTTCAGATAAACATTCTGCTGATTTTGTGTTGAATTCATTGCTTACCTGCAGCCTTAGATAGAGCACTTGTGCCCAAAAGCTACAACGTGCATTACAACCATCGATCTGAAAACAGTACAAAACCAGGGAATGAGACAAAGATGATACCAGAAATCCCACGGTAAAAAGTATTTGTTAACTGATTTGTAAAGCAGATTACCCGAAGAATTTCCTTTAGACCATGAACAGCTGGTGGCTGGTACAAATTAGAAATCTGTTCTTCCTCATCCACTTCCACATGGGTTTCACCAGACTGAACAGTAAGAATATAACAGAAGCTGGGAGGAGGAAGGTTAGTTGTCATCTATTAAAAAGTAAGCAAAAGAGATGTGACCTTAAAAAAGGCCAGTCAAGTTTTACAATAACAGGCAAAATGAAAAAAGCAATTTACATTTTAAGAGCGATGGGGAAACAAAATTATACAGTGGTTAATAACAAGGACTCTGATGTAGAAGTTGAATTAATAAACCAACATTCACAAGTTATAAGTGAAATCAGCTTGTGCACATCATTCTTTCCATAATCTGACATTGATCCTCATCACAAAAGCAACTCAGGATTTGGCAAACACTGTGACTATTTCAAGGTGTTTGCTGTTGGTTGGCATTTTTTATTACATGGTAGAGTGGCCTGATTATTCCTTTTTTTTTTTTTTCAAAACATCTGTCACTTTTCTGAGATTTGGGGACTTTTGCATGTGGGTGGGTTTTTGTGATAGTAAACAGCTGCCGAACTTTTAAAGCTGCCAAATTAAATCCAGGACAGCACAAGGAGATAATGAAGAACAGGAATGCAAGAGCTACAAGAACTGCTCTCTTTGTCTGATGCCAGATTTTTCTTTCTCCCTTAAAAAGTACCATGATGTAACAAGTTTATCAATCACCACTTAAAGAGGTCCCAAGCTAGAAAGGCTTCTCAGAAAAAAAAAAAAAAGACAATGCTAGAAGATAATTTTTATAGCAAATATGGTAAAATATTCTTTTGGTGACGTGTGTTGTTAATAAAGCATTTCATTTAATGAAAGAAACATGAATGTATTAAAGACAGATGCCCACCCATTAAAAATCTGCATAAAGAAAAATAAAAGCAAAAGAAGCTGATAGGCAAATTCTGTTTGCCTCCGACAGCACTAAAGAAGGTATTTGAACATATGCATGACTCAAAAAAACCCTGTTCCACAGACCTCTTCCCAACAACACTACCATCATGCTGGCAATATTATTTAAGTACCTATGTATAAAACTGCTTCCATAAAACGGTGCATAGAACTATACTGTTCGTATCAAGAAAAAGGTATCTCAACTGAAAGAACTCCACTCAGCCCAAAACGTGCAGCAGCAAAATGCAAGTGGTGATTCTACATGGAGTGAATTAGTATTTCAAACCCATGGCAGAAGTGTAAACTGCAAGATTATGGAAAGTTTCCCCCAGTTTTAGATTGCTAATAAGGTAGAAAAAAAATGAAGAACAAATGAGAGTCATAACAATGCTAAACAACATTTAAGAGCTTTGTTCCAGCCATGGATATTCCCATTCCACTGTGTTTTAATGCACAAAACCATCCATTCCTCTGAGGCTTCCAAAATGTTTAGATGAAAGGGAAAGTCAAGAACACAACTATTTCACTCAGTTTCAGTCTTGGTTTTATATATAACTAAGGTCTGAACTTTTTACTCTTCAATATAAACCCCTGGACAATTCAAAAAACACTCTACATTGCAAAGAAAAGATTCTCAGACTTTAGAAATAGCTAGTAATATTCATCTTCAATGTTCTCTGGTTTTGAAGCTTAATTTCACTTCCAGTTTTCTCTCTTTTTCCTCTGGAACTTACATCCTGATTGACTCCTCTATGCTCTTACACCAATTTTTAATACCACAAACATCTTCCCCAAAGAACAGCCTATACAAGACCAGCAAGTAAGCACAAACACTTGTCTGGCCAGAAGCTTCTCAAATGATCTCATATTGCCAAAATGACACTTGATATGACAGAACTCCTTGTCAAAGACAAAAGCTAATTAAAGGAAAATTAGAGGTGTTATTTTAGCTTTTCAAATATATAATGGCATACTTTAAATCCACTTTAATACCTCCCCACACCCTAAAACCCACAGAAACATTCACTACTTTTTACTAATTACTTTTGTGTCCATCCTTTGACTGTCCTCACATAAAACAAGTATCAGTCAAAGTCATCCTAACTAGTAAGAGACCTATTCCAGCAGTCAGTCTGTCTTCACAGAAGCTGATCTTCAGGAAAAGTCTTTTGAACCTAAGATGGAAAAGTGCTTCAAAAGAATGAGTTAGTATCCTTGTATATAGATTTCTCAGCTGGCTCCATGTCATTTCTCTTTCATCCTGTAAGGAGAGGAGAGGAAAAATTTGTCTGGACATCTTCCCATTCTAGCTCTAGAGGATTAGTAAGGGGCTAAATTGCATGATTTTGAAAAGACACTGATGATCCAGAGGGCTTCAGGTTAACCTGGGAGGTTGTCAGAATCAGTAAAACAAAACTCAGTAGGTAAAGTGAGGGAGAGAATCTTGATTCCCAAAGTAAACATGATTATGCCACCAACAAAAATATCAGTTGTGAGTGAAAAAATTCATAGCCATAATAATGAAACTTACCATTTCAGCATCTTGACTTTGCCCAAGAACTTTTACAGGCACTACTGGAGGCCACAGACTATCTATCAGACTAAAAAGTCCTAATGCCCTTCAAAGAGACCAATAAAATCAGGTTTAAAATGTTTTCCAGTGTAACATGTTACATTAAAAAGATACACTAAGAAATATAATTTCAACCATTGCATGATTATGAAAACAATTTAAAATCATATTTGTTTTCGGGAAGCTGGTTTTGATTTGGCCTAATTAAATCTCCATATTTCTGCTGCAGGGTGGAGAGGGAGGGAAGGGATGTATTACATCCAGTGACAAGCAAGTCGTATTTAATCCTTTGCCACAAACAGCTGGCTACATGATAAAATTCAGGGGAACTGGGGTGAACACTAGCTTGGGAAGGACACAGATACCAGCACAACATCTTTTAAAAAATAGCTTTTAACTATTTAACAAATTTTTTTTAAAAAAAAGCTTGGCTTCTAACATTTTGATTTCTTGTTCTTCTCTACCAGCTGATTGTAACTGCTTTCAGGAAAGTCAGCAATTATCAGATACAGAGAAACAGGCAAGATTTTGTTATCTTAAGTACATGTGCAGAGGGTGTTCTTCCTACACAGTCACCCATTTAGTTACGATTTGTATATATTTATTTTGCAAGTTTCCCACTTTTGATTTAGAAATAAACATAAAATTATGAGCTCAGCATATTAAGGTAAGGTGTTGCAGACCCTACAAAGCAGAGCTGTACTTTGCAGCAGTTCAGTTGCTGCCTTGTCAACTAGTGGGGCATCCTGGCTGGACAGGCAGGAACATCTGAGGGAGAGGCCAAGAAAACAGCTGAGGGAGGGGAAATAGCTACAGATAACCAACTTGAAGAGGCACACATTTTTGAGTTAAAGCTCCGAGTTATCTCGTCCCAGTTCTCTGTTCTGTGTAGTTGAAGCACAAAGATCTGTATTTTAACCCCACGCTGCCTCCAAGAACAAGTTGTTTATTCCTCCAATTAAGAAAACTACTATTTCTGAAACAGCTCTAAAAAATGAAGTCCAAAACTTGCTAAAAGTAATATTAGCTTCTCAACCAAGGAAAGGAAACCACATACTCTGGTACAGGGCTGAAGCACGTTGCAATATACTGCTTCTCTTCAAGGGGTCACGGAAACTTTCCTTTCAAAGTTCTGCTTTTAGCTCACTTCTGCTTAAGCTTATTTATTTCTGCATTTCCCTAGTCCTCCTCCAGATCCTTAAGCACTTGGACTCTGGGTATCTACAGACAGTGAAATTCTTCCCATGTTTTTTCACGAGTTGCCAGGTATTGTCTGTGATTCGCTGCTAACGGCGATGCCTTCGGACCAGCACTGCAACAAGTTTTAAGGACGTAAATCGCAGAGCAGATCTTACGGAATAAAGCATGTGGATCACAATTCAGGGAACAAACTGGCAGATCAAAAAGATGATGTTGCTACCTGTCCTTGTGTTCTGCACACTAATGAACAGACCAGAAATGCAAATGTACTGGTCTTTTACAGAAATGAACTTCCTGACTTTTGTGGCATCATCCCTGAGTCTGTAAAAGGAGAGGGCTGAGCTCAGAGACTGGTGTGGGTTTTTTGTTTTGTGTTCTGTTTTTAACAGTGAGAAATTACAACACACAAAGCAACATTTCTTAGGTATTAAAGAGACTTTACAGTAAATTGACCACTTCTTGAATACTTGACTGGCATGAGATTTTCTGTCTTGTATTGTACAGGATGATATCCTCCCTATGGACAGAAGGAGGGCCAATGCCCAGAAGAACAAACCAGTCTTGCTAACTGGGAAATGAAAAAGGGAGACCTACAAAAACAGAGCACAGGCTCCTGCACAACTCGAGTAGTTACATGAACAGCCTTCCTCACACAACACACAGCGCGAGAGCAGAGCACGGATATGAACATACCACAAATTGTGTGTGTGTGTGTACAGAGATCACACATTTATCAACTTAGAGCAACTAAACTATGTCGTTGCAGTGTAGATACAATCACATCTTCACAGAGACCTTACACTGATCCCTCGTATGTATTTTTAAGTGTTCACAAGGGACATGAAGTTGTCCTTTTTTGATTTAGCTCTGTTCCAACCTGTTACCCCATGTGGGAATATCTAAGACATATAGTACATTCTCTTCAATTCCTTGTGTCCTTTTGGAGAAGGGCATCTACTGCTTGAACTAGGAGCACTTAATTATTGGTAAACTACAGTGTGCATTTACAAGTAGACAGAGGTTCAATGCTGAATGGAGAATGTCTCCCTGAACATCTTGGCCCTATCTTTTCTCTGACTCCAGTCAGGCAAAGGGCAGGGACACTTGCCACCCAAAGGATCTCCAAGTTCCAAATCACATCCTGCCAGGATCCTGGTCTGCCAAAGGCAATGTTCTCTCCTGGAGCTGTCGTTGTATAAGTCTGTCCCTGGTGAGGAGTTCCTCTCTTTCTCCACCCGTTTATACACCTTCAAGAAAGTTAAGTCTCTTTACATTTACAGACTTTGACTTAGCAGAAGGAGGAATGAGGTGGAGGCACTGACAGTGGAGAAATTCATTCTCTTTATTGGCGAGGTGGAGGCACTGACAGTGGAGAAATCACAAGACATTGTGTCCTCCCTCTGTAGAAGATCACTATCCTCACAGAAAGAATAAAATTCATTCTCTTTATTGGTCAAATAACACTCAAATCCCACTTCAATCTGACTTGAACAATGGGTGTATTTTATCCAGTATGTGTATCCATCTTCTGCTATAGAGTCAGGACAAGAGATGAACAGCTGGCTCTGTGCTACAGTGAAGGGACGTGGTTAGCTCCCATGTGCACAAAGAGTCTCTCTGGCTACAGAAGGCAAAATAAAAAATGTTAAAATTTAGCTCTGTGAGTGTAATTACTAGTGGCATTCTTAACAAAAATATTAAAATAATTTTGATCACAAAAGGACAGATTTCTAAGAAAGGAAAAGCATAGTAAGAAGTGAGAAGAAACAGGATCAAGGATTAAAAAAAGAACATGCAAAGTATTTTGATTTTTTTTTTATAATTTTTTTTTTACTTCAGAGACTAGGGCTTTGTTGTAATACACTAACTTTCCTTTGAAACAAGAAAAGGAAAAAAAGGCTGAATCCATACCATAAGGACAAAAATCATCTGTCAGATTCTAAATGACAGACTCAACTCCCTGCATTCCATGCCAGACTAAAATCTGTGTTTGGTAAAAATGTATTTGTACCATACTAAATATATCAATGTCCACTGTTTATCACTAACACAGTAAGACCACCAGTAACTCCAACGGAGTGTTATCGTATAGACTCCCACAAAATATGGACTTATGGCAAGCAGTTCTCTACATACAGGTACACTTCTGTAAACCCACAACTTAGCTTTGCTTATACATAATCAGACTTTCATGTGTGTGCATGTATATACATATAATATGCAAAGTAATTCTTTTTAGTGTCCTTAATTACTTTTATTATCCAATGTTCTCAAATGTCATCTCTCTCTACATAAACTTGCCTTGTTAAACTTTAGTATATCTTTTTCTCAGCACCCATAAAGGCAAACTGCCTGCTACCTACCCAGACAGCAGTCAAGAGAATTTTAAAGATTTAATACTGTTAAACAGGCTAAATACATGGCTGAGAAAATGCAAAATATATCTGCAACACTTGCAGAAATTAATCCTGACATATTTAACAAATCATCTTAAACTACTCCATAGAAAAATCACTGGAAGATAGGAGTGATGCTAACAAAACAGCATTTACTTCTCCCTACCACAATGTCAACAGGAGACAGAAGTCACTTTCTGCTTCTAACCTTCCTGGCTTGTTTTGCCTTCACTGCAAAGGCAAACGGCAAAGATTCGTATATGCCTACTTGCATGTACCTGTTTTCTCTATTATTTTTAGTCAAAACATACAAATAAAGAGAAAAGCTGTTGTGACTATATTTAGACACCCAGTAAAGTGATAAAACAGCACTTACTCCATGAGCACACCTCTGATCCTGTGGAAATGCCATTCATTTCATTGTATAAGCTGTGCTACCAAAACCAAACAGCTGCAAATTTTGATTTTTCAAAACTGTATTTCACTGGTTCTGATCTGACAATTTATTTCATGACTTAATAAGAATATTTTGTTTATTTGTCTCACAAGCATGAAGTTTCATCTAGAGTTCTGGTCCAACACTGTGTGTGTGCCAAGCCTGATTCAACTTTTTAACATATAGCTTACATTTTGGGGATTTTTTAATTTTAACAATCACAGGCTCAGGGGAAAATACTACAGGAATAAAATATCAGCAGCATCAAAGAAAGTAAAGGGAAAAGAATGCCTGTAAGTAGGAAAAGAAGAAACACTATGTAAGGTTTACAGTCAGAAAACAGGAATATACTAGAATTCTCTTCCAACATCTTTCACAGCTTCACTCTGAGGACTTCAGACTTGGCACTTCTCTGCTTCCTCCTCTCCTACTTCTTATAATTTTAGTCTAAAACAAAACAGTTTTCTTTGGCAGTGTCAGTCTCAATTATTAAGAACTCAATAATAAAGCAATTCCTAGCCCTGTGTGAAACATCTCCTTGTCCAAAATTAAGAAGAAATTCCTTAATAATCACCTAGACTGCAAAAGGTTCAACTCTCGAGGGACAAACAAACCAAATATAAAGCTGACACTGTATGCCAGTTCTCCCTTTAACTGACCTACTAAGATCTTGCAGTGCACACACCACGTTTTCTCAGACTTAAGCAATAAAAGCAACAAAATCATAAAGGAAAAATCTGAGCCTACTAAACCAGCATCTCAGCCAAAATACAAAGAGGGAGAAAGGGCTGTTGACCTTTTCCTCCCCAAGTTTTGTTTAGATATATGAAATTATTTTGTTGAATAATTTACATACTTTAATAACTCAATTTTCTATAGTGCATTAGAAATTACATGTACTACATTAACCCACTGAAATTATCATATAAAAGTACTTTTGATGCAATATGGATATGCCTATGTTAATCTCCAATGCTGGTTACTAAACAGATTAATGACAGAAGCACTGAAGATACACATGGCAGGCCACGTTTATTAAAAGATACAAAACTCAGGAAATAAACCAGTTAATTTCTGATGCAAAAGTAGTCATACAGAATAATTAAAAAGTAATGAAAATATTCAAAACTTCAATGTGATTACTGAAATTGTGCTTTAAATGGAACTCAACTTTAACCACAGCAATTACTGAAGTGCTTCAGGACCTCAAAACCTCAGAGACGTGGGTGGCTCTTTTAGATGGCAGTCTTTTTGGAGGAGGCAAAGCCAAAGGAAGGAAGTTATGACCTCCTTGCTCTAGGAGAGTTCTTACTATTATGTTTCCTGTCAATGTCTAGCAGTTGAAACACTTACTTGAGTAGCAGTTAGCAGTGGTCCTCTCTTCTGAGGGCAGAGCAAAATGAAAAGAAAGTATATAGTGAAAAGTAGAGGAAAGAAAAAAGAGAGAAATAGAGGCCAGAGATGTATGAGGCTTAAATAAAAAAATGAAAAAGAGAATGGAAACCCTCAGGCACAATAGTGACTACTACAGACATACAGGGAGATTTCACATTTCAGTGCCTAACATTTGAAAGTTTGAAGTGACAAACAACAGAAGCCAACTTCATTTGAAAATGAAGAAATTCCTCAGAAAAACTGGTTGATGAACTCAGTATTCAGAGTTTATTTACTTTACAGGAAAATGCAACAGATATTACAGGCTGCCACGAATTAAATGTTGGCTCAAATGCCAAAGCCTATGAGTTGATGTATCCTTCAAACTGTTTCAGCCTGTCCAACATAAGTGTAGATTTTAGCACTATCCATGCAACAGTTGCCTCTTCTTTTGAAGCTTATTGACATTTTTTTCAATTTAGGGACAAATTCGTACTGACACACTGTGTTCTTCCTCCTCCCTCCATTTTAAAATTGGTGTCATCATTCTGCTCTGTTGAACAGAAACTCTTCATATTTCTACCACATAAGAAAGCCTAAAGAGAAGAAACTGGTACATCTGCTATACTCAGCAGTAAAGCAACTCAGTGCTTGGGTGAAAAGACACAAACTGTCAAAATCCAAATTACTACTCCGTGTGGAATTCCAGTCAGGGCTAAACATATGAAATCAATTTTTTTGGCTGATAAAGACAGATATCTAACTACAAAGTTTATCCCAGCTCAGTGAAATTAATTTCTGATAGGAAGCAGCAACTGTGACGAGCTGTAGGTTATTTACTCCTGAGGCATTTTATGCTCAAGCTCAGTCCCTGCATCTAATTGCATCCATTTAGCTACTGGTTATACCTGCCACACCTGAAACATGCCTGGGATCCATCAGAACTGGGGGGTTATGTTAGCTGCACTGCGCACGGACTCTTAACCAACATTCCTGCCTCTAGCATCACACCCTCAAAACCTCACTTCCTTTCTCAAGGGGCTGAATTTGAGACTGACACACGAGGCAGTGGGAGGACAAGAGCAAGAACATGCACCTCTAAGGAGCAACACCACCAGCGGCAGCTCAATGAGCATTTTTCAGTCTTCTCCCTTTATGCCACTATACCTTTTTCATTCTTTTTGGCTGATACCAGGCATGCAGTGCAGGGAACAGTTGTAGGAAAGGCTAGGAGACAGCTATGAATGAGAGGGGGAAGAGACAAGGTGTCAGGAAATAGATACTGGACCACATAAGTTAATTCAGCTGCTACAATATTACCTCTTACCCTATCCACAGCCTCATGAACAGACTAGAAGAACTGCTGGAAATGTGACACTGAACAAGCCATGGTAACTTTGCCATGACTCAGCCATGTCCATTTGTCTTACACGACTGCCAGAAACCAGACTGCAAAGGGAAACGCCACTTCCTCTACTGGACTGCAAAGGGAAGTATTTCTTGCAGGGATGGCTTGGGGGAGCATGCTCTATGTGGAGAATGGGACTTGTTCTGAAAACCACCCAAATCAGCGACAGACCTGCAAATGACCTCGTAGGAGACCCTAGTACTTGCAAAAGCATGTGAGTATTCAAAAACAACATTGAATGTAAACAGTGTTTCCCTCCATGTAAGATGACTATAATTCTAATTTTTCACAGGGCTGATCTTTGTCCAGACAGCACATGGTTGTATAAGTTTTGTTTTGGAATACAAGTGTGTTCTTATTGGGAGAAGAAATAGGTTTAGTTCCTTTAACAGTACAGATCCATTCCAAAGACCAAGTAATGCTTTCAGCCAGGTTTTTACCTGCATGTAAAATACTCATTGTTACAGGTTTATAGGTTTTAAGTCCTTGAAATGCAACTTCAGCTTACAACAGTGATTTTAAAATTGCATTTACTGGAATAATGCTAAATGGTGTTTTAATGATGATGAGGATGGATGGTGGCCTGGAAAATTTTTTGAACAATAACAGTGGTCCATTGATGCAAAATGCTTGAGAACTTCTTGCATCTATTAGCAAATCTCCTCTGTCTCATGAAGGGCCCGAGGAAGCACTCTGTCTCTGATTTCAGTCCATGTGACTGTGGGACAACATGTGCATATGGGATCTTATTAGCCATTCCTGGCTCTCTCCAGATCATGTGCTTCAAAGGCACAAAAAAAAAAGTAATTACTTTTCCCTCGTATTTCCTACATTTTCTCCTCTTTTATCCATTTTAAAAGCCACTGTCAGAATCCAGGAAACAAACAGTTTAAAAGCCATCTCCTTCCAAAAAGTAATTGGTGTTCTCAAAAAAAAAAAAAAAAAAGGCAGCAGTCTTTATTGCAGGGCAGACCACATAGTTCTTATTCACTCATGTGCTACAAGCCAAGGTTGGGCACTCACAGGCATATCCCATCATGTGCTCGGATATACCACTGGCTCTGCAAATCCATTTATCCAGTGGCAATGAGTTCCACAGCCTAATTATGCTCTGTGCGAATAAGTACTCGTTCATATTCATTTCAGCTATGGCTTTACTGTGGTTTCCATCACACCTAGAATCTGTCCCAAACACTTAAAAGTAATAAGAAGTTATAAAGCAGAACTTAGGCTAAAACAATTTAGAAAAAAATAAGTCCCTGAACAATTCCCCCACCCACCCATCTTGTACAATGAAATCACGTTTTAACCACTGCGCTGTCCCTGAAGCTACACTAGCCATTTTCTTTTCATGTTCCCTAGCAGGGTTACCAGTAGCACAGCTCCAGCTGAGCCACCAGCATTTTCAGCAGTGTGTCTTCTAATCGCCCTCAGAATAGCCAGAAGTAAGTTACTGCTGCTTTGAAACAGAATTTACATTAGAAAAAGTCTGTCTCTTATTAGCTCGGCAGAGTACTGGAAGCACCAGCAGCCAGTTGTAAAACTTCATTTGTATCCAGAATTCCAAAGCCATTATTTAATTTGTTTGGAAAAAATGTAACTTAAAAAAAAGCCAACAAAATAATTAAATAAGAAGACGTGTTTGTTATTAAAGATCCATAAAAATGCAAGTAGGCTTGAAATCCAAAGGATCTGAAAATTAACACTGCAAGTACATAAAAAGAAAAGCATACTGAATAGGGCTGGCTGGAAAACAACAGTTCCATTTTGCTAAACATTTCAAGGCTTTGAAATCTGTTTTTGTTCCAATATGAAACAAAAATGAGACTTTCTCAAAGTTTTCATGAAATGAGAATGAGAGAGAGACTATTCACTCCCTCTGGACCTGAAAAAATCTTCCCAACAAACTTGTCTCCAAAATAGATAATGTTTCCATAAAACACTCTGGTTTTGATGAAACAGCATTTTTCAACAGGGAAAAAAAGTGTCAGCAGAAATATCATAACCATTCTAACAGCAAAGGCTTATCTAGATCGGATGCTTGTATGAATAAATTACGTTGAGAATTGAACCAATCTAATTATATTTATTTAGGTCCCCATGAGAACACTGTATTACTTTCCTTAGAAAGATACTGTGTAAGATACTTGATCTGTTAAAACTTTTTTTCTTGACTAGAGAGATTTTATTTTATTCGAAGAATACAAAAGGAATCACAGAATAAGCAAAATCTGAGAGGTACCGTAAGTCAATTTGTTACTTACCTGGGGGGGATTTTTCTATAAACCTGTCGACATTCTTCCTCCAAAATAAGAATGTTTTTATGATTTGCAAGATGTACTTTTTTTTTAAGAAAGTTTATCTGTGGCTCTAAAACCATACAGACTTAACAGAATTAAGCTCTCATAGAGTAAGGGAAAGTCTGTGCTTGAAACTTCAACCCATACTGAGCAGCACTGTAGCAAAACTTACTCTAGTAAAAGGTTCTGCAATGAAACGGAGGTGAACTAATGTTTTTAAGACTCTACTGAAGAGGAAGAAAACAATCATATTTTATGCAATATTGCATACAGTAATTCTTTCTCTGCTAAGTGTGCAGTTGTGAATTAGCTTATTTATGCTCATTCTGGAGTATGGTTGGCTCAAGTAGAACTGGATGCCCCAAAAGTGGCACTGAGGACATTTGCCTGACCAAAACTGGATTCGGTTGTTCCAAACTGAACTGCAATCAACATTCCTGAACTGCAACGATAGGACAAGGGGTAAAGGGTTCAAACTGAAGGAGGGGAAGTTTAGGTCAGATATTAGAAAAAGGTTTTTAAGTGTGAGGGTGGTGAGACACTGGAACAAGTTGCCCAGGGAAGTGGTGGCTGCCCCAACCCTGGCAGTGTTCAAGGCCAAGTTGGATGAGGCCTTGAGCATTCTGGTCTAGTGGGAGGTGTCCCTGCCCAGGGCAGGGGGGATTGTGACTAGATTATCTGTAAGGTCCATTGCAACCCCTAAAATTCTATGATTCTATGACTCAAAGAATATTGGTCATAGAAATAAATAAAAAGGCAGATTACCTCTGCCTGCCACAGCAAGCAAAATACATTCTCCCATGAATTGTTCTCACCTTCCTCTTGTAGTTCTCTGCAAAATTTTCATTCCAGCTAAGCAGCAGAATTTTCCTTCCCATGTCCTGCAATACTGCTCAATGTCATCTGCAGAACTCAGGGACTGCAGCTGCACTTCACTGAACATGCCATAGGCATCCTGGACAAGGAGGCATAACCTGCAAAAGATTTCCTCTGTTACTCACAGGCATCTGTTCATAACAAACTAGTGAGCAAATTTCTGAAAACTGCATGACAAACTTCAGGACAGGACTTATCCACTATAACAGCTGAAGAATTCCTATCAAATAATGTATCAATCAATCAATACACGAACTCAACATCATTAAAGGTTTTCTCGTGTACATTTTCAGGAGGTAACAGGGTCATGAAATACAGATGACTGAAACAAAGCATAAAAAGGGCTTGCACTGGGGATTAGATGAATTAACTGCTGTGCTCTATGTGGGTTTTGTACTTATAAAGAGTTTTTGCCTTACTTGAGGTGAATTCTGCAATGCAGACAGAGCAATGACAAAAACATGTATGTGTGTGAATATAAATACAAAAATTCTGCTTAGAAATAAACGAAGCAACATATTTCACAAGTAACAAACACCAACACTGAAACTGGCAAAACAAGCATTACATTTTCTACAACTTCTTTTAAAAGAGTCCTAAGGTTGCAAAAAAGAGCGAAACATCAATTTTTCTTTTAAAAAAACCCCAACATAAAACTGCAGATTGGTATATTCAATATTGGGTATGGGGAAGCTCAGAGAAACTATTTAAAGAAGGTAATTAAAGAACCTGCTAAACAAACAATTTGTTTCATGTAACCTATGGAAGTAGGAGCTGGAGGGCTGGGAAACATTGCTTAACCAACTTGCTGGCATTTTGAGAAGATATTGCTGTCATAACAGATAAGGCAAAATCAGTGGATGTCATACATTTAGATAGTCAAAAACGCATTTCACAAGATTCTGCACCTGAGATGAGCAGCCACGACAGCATGAGTCACCCAGGGCTGGAGGAAGGAGCTGCTGTCTACAAGATCAGCTTAACTGCCCCAGAAAGAGACAGTTAAGCATGGAAACTTTTCAAAGGGAGACGACGATTACCTTTGAGGGTAGCACATGCATCTTTATACCTAAATAAAACTCAGGGGTGCACTAGGCAGCAGAATTCAGTTCATTTCAAAGGTACATGCCAAAACTACCTTCCCCAGAGCAGCACCACTGGTCACAGCAAGCTGACTCCAGCTGCTTTTGGAGCACATCATAGAACATACATGCACCCTGAAAGCATTCAACAGTAGTCATTATATCTTTATAAAATGCATTTCAAATTAAATGAGCTCCTACATTTCTCTGGAAGGAATCCATGTATTTGCACAGAAAATTAGGCCCATGGAAGACCATTAATCACAGTTTCCTTGTTCATTATGAACTGTCTAACTTTGGCTTACACCCTTAAGGAGGCTGTATTCAACACAAGATACAAACCCAAAGGCTTTCAGACATCAGCAGTTGTGCAAGCACCAGCTAAGTGTCCTCATTTTTCAGACTCTGGTGCTGGTTTTAAGGAGCAGGGAGGGGTGGGACTGGACACAAACAAAGGCTCCTATATTTTCCCCATATCTCTAGCTACAAGGGTCCCATACAGGGTCATCACCAGAAAAAAAAAAACCAAAACAAACTCGAAAAACTATGTTTGCCTGCTGCTTTCCATGTTAGGACCTTGCAATCAGTTAAGAACTCCCCTGAGTTTTAACTGATTTGACTGAAACTCCTTGTGATACTGTTTTGTTTGGAAAACGAGCTGATGTGCTCTGGACATTTCTGAAAATCAGACTGAGGAGAACCGGAAAAACAAAGCAAACAGTTTTGCCTATGTTAACAAAACGTTGACTGTTAATTGTGAAAAATTAGGCCTCCGTATCTTGGAGCAGGCAAGAGCCAACTAAGTTAGTGTCTCAGATGGGATCAGTTCAGCAGTCTCTTAACTGATCACTGGAATTTCTCATATCTTCCGTGAGACATAACTGAACACAAGTAAGTCTCAGACTAGCTGGCACCAGGGCCATATTAAGTCCTCTGGGACATGCTAATTGCCCAAATAAAATTAGCTTGGTTGGTGCTAAAGACATCAGTCACTAAAAGTGCATTTTCCAAGTCCTTTTAAGTCAAGCAAAGAGATTGTTTCTGTCAGACATGGGAGTCTCAACCCCCTGCATCCCTGGCCACAGATTTCCATCCCTTTGTGGCAGCATAAATGGCTAGGACAGCAAACTTATCTGACCAAAAAAATACTGTAGCCAAATCATCATCATCATCATCATCATCATCATCATCATCATCATCATCATCATCATATGAGTTCCCTGAAAATTAACTGTGTAGAAGTAAAGTCCTATTTGCATGGAGTACTACTTCTAGACAAGGATAGATTTTCCTCAAAGCTTCCATTCCTGGAAGGACATCTCAGGTCATATGATGGGAGAATGGTCATCTTATGACCAAGCTAGATGCACAGAAGTAAAGAACTGTGTAATTTGAAGCTTTTATCACTAACATTCCCATTCGCGCTAGGGCCACGTTTATGTTTATTGGCATCAAGAAGGAACACAGAGCATCAGCACCTATTGCATCAGACTTCGAGTCCTTTTACTCTATCAGGTTCATAGACATGAGCAGGCAGCCACTTGTTCTAACACTACCCAAAAGGTAGTCACAATTTCTCTGCAACGTGCATTTAAAATGAAATGTGTATATTCACCCACTTGAACGACAGAATTTCACAAATAACCTTCAGATGCCCAATTTCAGAACAAAAGGTGAAGAATAGACCAAACCAGTGCCATGAAGAGAACTTCTCAAACACACGCTCCCTGCTTCACCACACTTTTAAAACAGTATGAATGAAACCTTGAAATGCTATAGGTATGTAACAATAAGTGACAACTGATTTTCGTACTTCATGACCATCACAAAATCAGCTGAATCCCACAACACACTCAGCGATGCATTTGGAGAACTACCCTCCCGTTCTTTGAAACTGGTTCTGCTCTTATAGATTTTGCATATGCTGTCAGCATCACTGTCAGAAGTTCAGCTACTTTCAGATGCTGTTGATTCATGGCCTTAACTTCCTCACCAACACTGGGTTTTCCCCTTGATTTCACTTTATTCCCAGAAAAGTGCATTTGTATTATTTTCCCGTGTTACAGTGTTGCCCTCATATGACAGCAAATGTTCTTGCAAATTTATTTTTATGAGCAAGTCTAACTGTGATTAAAGCAACAGTCTGACCCATGATTTTTCCCCCATTTGAAGCTCACTACCAGAATGAAAACCCACATCTAAATTATGGGACAAGTTGCAAATGCAAAACAAGTATCTGCCCCACAGGAATTCAGGGTTGATGTTTCATGCACATCTGTCACAAAGATTTTTTTCCATGAAATGTGGCATTTATAATCATTTAATCAGGCTAAACATACCTTTACCAATGCCTCACCAGTATGCAGAGTAATGCACTGTAAAGAAAAAGACAGGCAACATCAATTATGGGACAAGTTGCAAATGCAAAACAAGTATCTGCCCCACAGGAATTCAGGGTTGATGTTTCATGCACATCTGTCACAAAGATTTTTTTCCATGAAATGTGGCATTTATAATCATTTAATCAGGCTAAACATACCTTTACCAATGCCTCACCAGTATGCAGAGTAATGCACTGTAAAGAAAAAGACAGGCAACATCTCTAATCAGTGGTTTTTTTTTAGGGAGGAAGTAAGGGCCATCTTTATTTTTGGGACAACAAGATGCAACCCTGTGTAAGAGCCCAATTTCAGATATCGTTCTGGAAACTGAAATTTCTCATGCAAAGGAGCAGAGAATTCACTCCAGGAGCAAGAGGTGGCAGAAAAGCTGGTAGAGAAGCAAATGTGGAAGATGCAGACTAAGGAAAAGGTGAAGTATGACGCATTGGTAATAAGAAAGGGGGCGAAGATAGGGAATGATAAGAAGTGAGGCAGAGATTAGCCTTTTTTCTTTTTCTTTTTTTATATAATGACACAGTAAGTCTCATGCAAAAGCTTGGGAAGATTTTGTTAATTTGCTAATAGCCAGGAGCAAGAATGGGGGCTGGGAGAAGATGAGACTGATTACTCTGCATTATTTCTATGACTGTGCTGATCTTTGGGACAACATGTCTCCCAGTAGCAATCTGGAGAGGATTACAGGATTATTGCCATGCCCTTCTCCCAGTTAGTCACTCTTCATGGGTAAAGGGTAAACCCTTCTTTTACTATTACCTTTTTATGCATGAAAAATCAATCTCTCCATACTGCTGCCTTGTATCAGGCAGCTGACTTCACGGAGAGGTAAAGGTGACAAAACCTTCTTCATTTTTGGTCACCTCCAGCTGCCTTAGCATCTAGTGGAAAAGAATAAGAAAAAGATTTGCCTGCAGAGGAGATGAAAGTGCATGGAGGCTGGAACCGACTGATTACAGTCACTGCCTTTAGTGAGTCTTGTGAAGGGAAGTCTTATGAAGTCCCCTCTGCAGGGACTTCATTAGTTGCTTTTTCTTAGGAAGGGAGGGAA